CTTGCCTGTATCGGGTACAGAATCACATCAATCATGCTTAGCCACCGTTTATATAGATTGTTTGACAGACAAGACAATACAAACGCCGAAACTATCTTTTCACTTTTAGAACCAGTATGTATTTCGTGAATATCTTTATATAAGACATCTCTTAACACTTTAAGTGCTACAACTCACAGCTTCAATTCACTTTCATGAGATAGAATCGTGGTATCGATCTTTTTTTTAACATACTATTTTCTTAATGGCTGATTGAAGGGTTATGGTTTAAAGATTTTATCCTAAAAAGAGATTTTTGGATTGCGTGAAAGGTGACATTATCAAGGGAGTGATGACTGAGATGACGGATGATAGAGTTATTTGGAGGACGAAAACCCGGCGCGCCGACACTACGGGAGTAGGATAAGGCATGGGAGATGATGATTCTCAAAAGGACGATTTTACTTTAATTACTGAAATAAAAAATATACCATACTTTTGTCCTTCCTAAAGCAAGCAATTTCTAGCTTCAATTCATACATTTTTCGATGAAAGTAAACATCGTGATGCAACCTGCATATATTAGTATAGAAATTCAAACATATGTGTGACGTGAACCCGAGCTCGAGGCCCTTATTTCAGCCTTTTAACAATTTAGATAAACTGTAAACTATACAACACATACAAAGGTAACCTTTAGCATAGATTCACCGACCAGAGTATTCACATTAAAAGCCCTTTTACTAAATTGAAAATTCAACTAGCCTGAGCATAATAAAAGGATAATGATTGTACTTCATAAAAGGTAACCTTGAGCCAGCCCTAGGGTTATCTAGACCTTGACATGTACTTACGAGAAATCTATTAAAGTAGCTTTTGCCTGCGACTCGTCCGCCCGGTAACAATAAAAACTAACCCATAATATGCTCTTCCTGACTATGCAATACATCAGTGACAAATTTACATTTATAATATTAGTAAGTTTTAAATATACGGAAAAGAATAAACAATCTCCATTAAACACTAGCATAAAAAACCAGATGCATTTTATTTACTAGCTGTTGCCCTCGACTTCGTCCGCGTGGTATTAGAAAACATACGAAATATATAAATAACAAAAAGTTCCGTATCCCTCGGGAACCGGACATTTCTCGGGGATGAACGTTATCTCACGTGTACTCCTTACTTTGTTTTATATCTGCGCCAAATTTCAATAAGATATGTTGAACCATTGCAGAATTATCAAGTAAACATTAAAAAAATAAATTAATGAATCCCACGGGAACCGTAACTATTCCCAGGATAAAAATTAGCCTATGTGTTTTTGCATTTATAATATTTACATGATGATTTAATTCAGTTTGGATTATTCCAGTCCACTCTAGTACCAGGCGTACAGGATATATCAGCTGACGGAATAACAACCAATAAAAGATATACATCCTAATGCAACGTACGATTGCAACAAAGTAGCAAACAGATTATATCTAGATATGTATTGTGAATCCTACTCTAGGATTGCTTTAATCCGTTTGCTTCAAACGATCTAAGGATCGGAATAGCTATCGAAAAACCTGGATAGAATTTTTATACGAACGATCAATTTTTATTGTTTCTTTCGAGCAACTAAAGTCTTGAACGTAAATTTTATTAGTAAATCTAATCAACCATAGACTACAAAAGCTTTTATACTCTATGTAAAAATCATTTAAACACTTATATTAAACATAGCTTTTGCCCGCGACTCCGTCCGCGTGAAATTTAAAAATAATAAGAAATGTAGCCCATAGCCCATGTTACTCACAGATAAATTACCATTCTAACAGTAAGACTTTTTAAAATCGGCCCAGTAGTTTTTTAACCCTATTCATTACAATCACACAAACTTTTTCTCGTTATAATATTAGTATAGATATTACGTCAGTTTTATTAACAAGAATAAAAGGGATATTTGTATTTACACTTTAAACCCAGTTACTAATTCAGTACAATATGTAACCAAGTTGTAGTCAAAAGTTAAAACTAGTATGTATTCCACTTACCTAATATTAAATGTAGCTTGGCGTCTGTTTGGAAGGCATAGTGTAGGGTGACCAGGAAAGGACACGCTCTCACCGCCTCTAAAACCTGTCGGAATAAATATATAGTTAAATTCAAATTATAACAACTTTAGCGTCTTACAAAATATAACACAACTAGCTTACGCCCGCGACCTCGTTTAAAAACAAAAGACGTGTTCTTCCAGACTATGCTCTACATTCACTAAGCCTTAAACAAAAAAAAACATCCATCTAGACTTTTGCATTTTAAGAAGTAAGATTGCCAGGAAAATTGTAATGGAAATCAATGTGTAACATTTTTAGTGTCCTTAAAGGTGATGAAATATGGCTCCTACAATTCTTTCCAAATAAATGATAAGAAGGCTTAAAATTCATTTTCACTGTTTAAGGACTTAAAGGTATGTTTCCACTACCAATGTAAGACATTATTTAATAGTGTAACAACAATAGTTTTACTAACGTATAGTGAAATAAGTGGATTAAAGCCTGTACTGTTCGTGCATCTAATCTTATAAGCGTTGATAGTTGTCGGGTTACTTTACACTATTTAACCCTTCTGTAAATACAATTATACGAGAAAGGATAATTTGAAAATTAGGTTTAAATATATGAAAAACTAATCTTCCATCAGACTTGTTTATTATTTACAATTTATGAGCAAACCTGGTAAAACGCTTATATAGTGGAATTAAAAAGTTTAGATGGATGGATGGATGTTTGTTAGAGTTTGTAGCCTTGAGGCTGAACGGATTTCGATGAAGTTTGGTATAGATGTAGATGATAGTCTGGAAGAACACATAGGCTACCACTTTTTTTTTTAATTCCACGCGGACGGAGACGCGGGCGTAAGCTAGTTTAAGATAAGTTTGTTATTATTTCTCCAATTAAATACTTTATACCATACTTCTACTTACTTTCAATTAAGGTAATACACATGCCAATGGCAGGCATACTTTCATGCAAGCATTACGTGCCAGCTATAGGCATGTGTAAATACTAACTGACATGCAACTGGCTTGCACGAAATTTTGGAACAACTATGTGCATTAAGTAGGGAGGGGACGAGGTTAGTACGAAGCTTGACACCAGAGTACGATAGTACAAGTACACCAACTACGTTTTAGTGGCATGTGTATTCCCGCCATTTTTGTCTAGTGACTACTAACCTGTCTTTCGGTCCTCGTGTGCTCCGCGGTCTTTAGTTTCTGTACAATGGAGGCTTTCTTCAAAACCTTCATCGCGTAGAGTTTGCCCTCGTCGACGCCGCATCTCTTTCTAACTAGGAACACTTTCCCGTAAGCTGAAACAAGAGAAAAAAATCACATTATAAAACGTAACGAGATTTAAATTAAATTAGAAATTATGATTTTTTTTCTCTAAAAATATGTTCTTGAGGAAAAATGGATCAAGATGGATTGGAGTCAACGTTAATGGACAATTAATGCCCGCAACACACGTCCTGTTAGACTATTCAGTTTAAACTATAGGTGTGTTACTTGTTATCTTGAATTGACTGTATACGACAACATAAGTAAAACACTAAGCGAAAATCTAAAATTCCTCAAGAGCATAGAAAACTACGTGATAACCTATTACTGAGTTTTAGGTCGACGTTACTGGTCTTGGAATTTTATTTTCCATTGCTAAGAAATAAGGTTCAATTTAGTTTCCGTCTGGTAAACGTGAAGGAAATTATAAGAGGATGCAATCTAGGTGAGATACCGTCATTTATTAGCTGGGAAATAGATTTTATAAGATTGAAGAATTTTTAAATATACAAAAGCAACAATCTAACGATAACTTTATCATACTACGACCTTTATAAAAATCCGAAACATTTAAATAATCTTCAATTTAGCTTGTAATACCAAACTGCATGTAATTTCATTTATTTTTATCTCACAACTAGCTGTTCCCGTGCGACATCATCCGCATAAAATTATGAAAATTTTAGTTTTATTGTTTACATGTGTCGAATTATTAATTGCAAATGTCAAAATACCAATAAACTTACTATGGCAATCTTGCTTTCTTGATGTAGGCAGCGACTTTTGGTCTCTTTCCCACATTAGAGTTTTTATCCAAAATATTTACCCCCTTAGTTTAATGGCATGAAAATATATAGCCTAATATAGCGTGATGTGAGTGTAGGGCTGTTTATTAAAAAAAGAATTATTCAAAAATATGCTGTAGTTGCTGAGATCTTAGGCAACAAAGAAGTGTGTGTTTACGTAAGTATTGTCTTGACTCTGCCACATTCATCAAACATCTCAAATAGTAACTATCAAACTTGACATAACCATTTAAGACAAAGAATTTGATCTCTTTCCGGGTTTTAGTAATTTGTTTACAAATAATTCATCATCCATTTGTAACAGAGTATATTATCATTTAAAATCCTAGTACAATCATCTAGTAACAGTTCACCAAGCCCTACCGACATATTGCGGATGTATCCGGTTACTGCGCCAGCTGTCCGGATGAGATTAAGCTTGTATTATCAATGTCTCACGGAATGTTGACATTGACTACACAAGATATAACAGTGGGTTTTAATACCGTAACACCTGTATAGAAACATAATCTAATAGTGTTAGAGCAATGAAAACTTACGATTATAGATTACTTAGTAAGAACTGTAGTTCAGTGACACTAACAAGATGAAAGGCAATTCGGCACTAGGAATGGCCAACTTGGTTAGTTCACAGACGATACATACGATATACTAATCACCTTCTCGATTCTACAAAACTAATAGTCGCGATCGACTAGTCAATTTAGTTTTGCCACCTAAGTACTAGTATATCCACAACACAATTTTAGGTATTCTTCAGGGCAGTATATAGGGCCTCTCCCACCACTGGGTGATAGAGGCTCAGACAGTTTAATGACGTCACTGTCAAATAAGGGAACAAAATCCGATAATTCCATCACATATTTTCCATCACACGTTGGATTGTTAGACAATTTATATTTGGTGGAACAGGCCCTAGATCTTCTATCGCAATTTGATTCGTTATAATTCAAGTATGAACTTGCAAAAGGGTCACTGCTCATTATGACATAATCTAGCTAACAATTTGACAACTTTCATCACCCTGTCAATCAATTCATAGAGTCGGGCTGATTATTTCTAGTTTTACCGCACAACAAAGTAATTGTAGATTAGAATGCGTGGAACGCATTGTGCATAAGGACCATATTCGCATACGCATTTTCATTTCCTAACAGTAAGCGAGGCATTTGCGCAAAAAGCTATAATTAAAAGTGCGCTTTGTTTGTGTCGTGCTAGCGACTGCATTGTCGCGGTTTGGTTATTCCTCATTATTAGGATTGTAGCGAAAAAACTAGAAAACAGCAAACACTGATAGAAACTATTCTGATATTTACTTGAGGTTTTGAATGCCTAAAAACTCCTACTTACAAAAATTCTCATTATATCATTATATCCTCTAAAAAGATTATTTTGTACAGGTTACGTTCCTACACCTACGATATCCTAACGCTTCCTACTTCAGTTCAGCCTTTCATCCGGCAGTGTAAGGTACTCTATCCTTCCTCATTGATCCAAGCGTAGCCCAACAATATCAATGTATCCCTAAACGGACCGTCCACCTCACTTTCGTGTAAAACATCCGAAAATACACAAGTACACTGCGGTCGACCTTACGTGAATCAATCTCAAGACGAGGTCAGGTGTAATCGCTTCTGGAAGTCACAATGTACAGACACATACACAAGTACGAGCGAATAAACAAGGAGCGATAATATCTTTTACATAACCAGAGATGAACATTCAGAAAAATGTATCTAAAAATCATTGTGCTAATCATCATCTCCCTACATTATCCGACTCCCTTAAGGCGCACCGGGTTTTGACCTCCAAATAACTCTATCATCCGACATCTCAGTCACTCTCTTATTGATCATGCCACCTTTCACGCAATTCATCCATCTCTTTCTCATTGCACTAATAACAGAATGAAAAAGGAAATAAACGAGACATGTGTCACAGATATTTTCTCTCTCTCTCTCACTCTACAAATATTAACTACCACGATATAATAAATCTTATAGAAAGTTGGTTTATCTACGCGACTGTACCGACTGCATCCAAAGGACGCGAGATGACGCTGACGAGCCGGAATCTCGAGTTAATTATAAACATTATACTAGTTTTTAATCCGTGACCTTTCGAAAGGTTTAAGTATACAATATGAGTAAGAAATCGTAATGGTACGATAACGGGTCAACATATCTACTCAACACAGGATCAACATATAACATATGTATGGCAATTTGAAGGGGAATTTACCCATGACATAAAGAAATTGATAATAGATTTTTTTTATAACATAAGGTGGCAAACGAGCAAGCGGCTACTTGAATCCACCGAAATGGAAAGCGACCGCTGTCTCTTAACATCCGCAATTGCAGATGCGTTGCCTACCCTTAAGTGACGGAGGAGGAGACGCATATATTTGTCATGATGTCATATTTTGATATCGACGTTTAACACAAGTTCATCATCGATCGATACACGATAAGCAACTATACGATAGCAAAGTTCAATAACCTCGCATGAGGGGCAATGCGAAGTCAATGTTTTCCATCTTTCGGGAGCAACGCACAAACGATGCAAGGACGGTCACTGAACTGCAAACGTGGACGAAATAAACACGTTTGTATCCAAAACATATTGATTTAAATGTGTAGGTAACTGGACAGATGTAACTCAATAAACCCTGCCCTTGAAATCACACCAGAAGCATACGATTTGAAGACATAAGGCTATCAAATGTACATTCCACCATTGCATACCATTACATGTTCTTTATAAAATTACTAGCAGTTCCCGTGCGACTTCATTCGCATGAATTTATTGTTTACATTGGTCAAATTATCAATTGCAAATGTCAAAATGACATGACATCATGAAAAACTATGGTAACCTTGCTTCCTTGATGTTGGCAGCAACTTATGGCTACTTTCCCATATTAGGGTTTTTATCCAAAATATTTACCCCCTCAGTTTAATGGCGTGAAAACATATAACCTAAAGCGGGACGGAAGTGTAGGGATTTTTACTAAAGAAAGGATTATTCATAAATATGCTGTAATTGCTGACATCTTAGGCAACAAAGAAGTGTGTGTTTACGCTTTATTATAATAGTATAGATAGTATAATCAACACAGCATATTGCTTACAAAACTTGGCTGTCAGAAAGTCTTAAAATGTCGGACATAATCCATGTCTTAGTATCCTGGATGGAACATAGGACCGATCGTCGTGGAAATATTTGGAAGAGGATTGTACCCAGTAGTGAGATACAAATGACTAGAAACATCGTATCACTTTTCAAAACAAACACTAGTACTTACACCATGAGTGCAACATATAATGGGATACCTTAAATGTTACTTTTATTATGTAGAAATAACATATGTTAGTCTAACTCATTTCTGCCACGAAGTACCATAACAGTTGCTACCCTACACAACATCGTCCTCATTAAAACTCAAGCGACGAGGCGATAATATGCAAATCCACATTTGTTCGGCAAAGGACATTGACGCGTGACGTACACCAATTGTTACATGTAATGAGTACAATAAAATAAATTAGATATAACATTCGCTACATATTGTAAAACAAGATCTAAAAAGAGTTGGATAGATTGCGTGAAAAGTGACATGATCAAGGTGGGAGTGATGACTGAGATGACGGACGATAGTTATTTGGAGGACAAAAATCTGTTACGTCCTTCGGTAGTAGGATAAGATGTTGATGACGTCTGAATTCCAATAAATACACACTGTAGGTTCCCAAGATTTAAAAAAAAAAACTAAATCAATATTAAAATTAGAAATACTATGAATATCGAAAGATGTGATAGTTTCGTTTTATCACAAAACTAACTTTACTTATTTCAAAATTGCGCCGACCCTACGGGAGTAGAATAAGGAGATTATGATGAAAATTGCAATTCTCAAAAAGGCTCATGCACGAGTCAAATAGACTAGGGAAAGCATATGTCATAATTATCTAATTCTTGTTTCTATAAGCTTGATAGTTAAATATAAAAATTATTACCAAGTTCAAAGGTTAAGAGAACAAAATCTAAGGGTTCCAATATCATTTAATTTTAATACATAAAGCCCTGATTTTAGGGCTCTCCAAATAACGCAGGACGAGGACCTTACGGGGTCGCTTAGGGCGAAGACCTTAGGGGTGCGTAGCCGACCTTTGGAGGGTGGATTAGAGTTCATACCTTATAGGCTTTTGAGGACAACGATTCCA